TTTTGGAGACAGTTTCATTCTGTCACCCAGGTTGGAGTGCAGTGGCATGATCTTGGCTCACTGCAACTTCTGCCTCCTAGGTTCAAGCTATTCTGCCTCAGCCTCCCGAGTAGCTGAGATTACAGGTGCTTGCCACAGTGCTCAGCTAATAGAGACAGGTTTCGCCATATTGGCTGGGCTGGTCTTGAACTCCTGACTTCAGGTGATCCACCTGCCTCGGCCTCCCAAAGTGCTGGGATTACAGGTGTGAGCCACCGCGCCCTGCTGACAGGTTTCTAGTTAAAACAGACAAAAATACCTCTTATATGATTTACCATAAGGAAAACTGTTGTTTACCTAAAGACTTAATTTTGTCCTTCTTTTGCAGCACAGAACACAGTGCCTCTTTTTCACATTCTCTCATGTAATGTTTCCTTTCCCTGTGTTAGCACATTTCAATTTTGCCATTTTTCCATTTGAGCTTTTGATATTTGTACCTTCTTTCTATGTCCATCCTTGGAGCCCTTTATTATTATTTTTGTCTCTATGTGTGAGTTTTTCCCCCCCTATAAAAACCAGAAAAGATTTTTCTGTTTAAAAATGGTATGGACCCCATTTATCAAGATGCTGATTGGACTGGATGTTGCAGGCTTGTATAGTACTCCCAGATCTGTGATTCTGTCTCTTCTCTTTCCCAGTTTAGCTGTCTGTTCCTGACTCACATGCCCTCTGCTCACTTTGTATACAAGCTTACAGTGTGAATAGATCTAGCTGCTTTAGGGTGCTCTGGAGATTTTGCCCCTAAGCCACTCAGTTCAATCAGATGTCTGCTGAGCTGGTATCTTCTTCCTATTCCACATGAATACATGAAGGGTCTTCACCCCAACTCTGTGTTCTTACTTGGGTGCTATCTGATTTTTAAATCTATACTTTTTGCACTGCTGGAGTGTCCAAGGTACCCTGGTGTTGTAAACAAATAACAAAGTTTTATTAGCCTGAAACAATTCCCATAAGCCTAACATCCCTCAGGGTAACATATTGATAGTGAAGTAAGCAGTTGTTTCAGATTACTTCATAGGAACTGTTATTTGGGGTAGCCAGGCATGAAACTTTGCCAGGGCTTATAAAACTGGTAATTATAGTTGGCAAAGGAGAGCCAAGACTTGAGTTGAATAAGTCATGAACCTTTTCGAAAAGTCCAGCCCTCTTCCAGCATCACGCTGGTCCTCTGTCTGTGGGGTCGTCATCCTGTCCACTAGGGTGTTCTGTTTGGAGAAGGGTTGACTCATGTGCCCTATCAGATGAATGGCGGCTCCTTTCCTATGAAGTTGGGCTGCATGCCAAGTGCCTCTGTGCTTTTGTCCTGTTACAGATTGATGCCTTCCAGCACATGCAGCATTTTGTCCAGACCATGCAGCAACAGGCCCAGCATGCCATCGCTACCGAGGACCAGCAGCATAAGCAGGAACTGCACAAGCTCATGGCCCGGTGAGGTCCCTACTGACCTGGGGCAAGTCACATTCCAGCCCTATCGTCCTAGCAGCTTCTGCAGCAAGGAGGAGTTCAAGGCTTCTTGGGTGGCTGATTGCTGACATCTCTCATTCCTTTCCCAGTAGGGATCCCAGGCACCCACCGAATCGTGCTACTCCAAAGTCTCTGCGACTTGCTTTCCTAGGTTCAGCGGCCCAAGAGCACCCTTGTGCTGTTCTCCTGGCGTCTGGCTATAGAGTTAGAGTCCTTGTTTTCAAATGTCAGATATGCTGCCCCCCTTTTTTTTTCATTTTATTTTATTTTATTATTTTATTTATTTATTTATTTATTTATTTTTTTGAGACGGAGTTTCGCTCTTGTTACCCAGGCTGGAGTGCAATGGCGCGATCTCGGCTCACCGCAACCTCCGCCTCCCGAGTTCAGGCAATTCTCCTGCCCCAGCCTCCTGAGTCGCTGGGATTACAGGCACGCGCCACCATGCGCAGCTAATTTTTTGTATTTTTAGTAGAGACGGGGTTTCACCATGTTGACCAGGATGGTCTCGATCTCTTGACCTCGTGATCCACCCGCCTCGGCCTCCCAAAGTGCTGGGATTACAGGCTTGAGCCACCGCGCCCGGCCTATTTTTTTTTCTTTGAGATGGTCTTGCTCTGTCACCCAGGCTAGAGTATAGCATTGATCTCCCGGGCTCAAGCAATCTGCCCACCTCAATTTCACAAGTAGCTACAGGCACATGCCACCACACTGGCTAGTTTTTTGTAGAAATGAGGTCTCTACAAAAAACAGGCATGGAGCCTACATTTCCCCCTATAAGTTTAATGTTGCCCAGGCTGGTCTCAAACTCCTGGCCTCCAGCCAGCCTTGCTCCACAGCCTTTCAAAGTGCTGGGATCATAGTTGTCAGCCACTACACCACCCTATGCTGCAGATTTGATGTTTGACTTCAAAGAAGTTACTTGATTTCTCTGTGCCTCCGTTATCAATATAAAAGGGGTAGGAAAGAGTTTCTATCTCCTAGGGCGGTGTAAAGTAGTGTGAGGATTAATGCAAAGCATTTCAAGCAGTACCTGGAATATAGTAGCAGTCAGTAAATGTGGGCTAATCTCATTACAAAGAATGGAGGAGAAGGGAGGCTGGGAGTGGTGGCTAACGCCTGTAATCTGAGCACTTTGGGAGGCCGAGGTGGGTAGATCATGAGATCAGGAGTTCAATACCAGCCTGGCCAATATGGCAAAACTCTGTCTCTACTAAAAATGCAAAAATTAGCCAGGCGTTGTGGCACACGAATCCCAGCTACTCCGGACACTGAGAAAAGACAATTGCTTGAACCTGGGAGGTGGAGGTTCCAGTGAGCCAAGATCACACCACTGTACTCCAGCCTGGGCAACAGAGCAAGACTCTGTCTCAAAAAAAAAAAAAAAGAATGGAGGGGAAGGGAAAAGTAAGGGAGAAGCTATATAGCAGTCAATAAGAGAATTCTCAATAACTGTCACCCACCAAAATTGGAATTCGCTGTAAAGCCTGGCAGAAAAAAAAATGGATTTCAGATAGATAGGTCCATACGGACCTACCTGTACCAGGTACCTGGTTATGCTGTCATTGAGAGACAAAAGTCTTCTTTAGAAAGAAAGAAATTAAAAAAAAAAAACAGAGAGAGAGACAAAGGTCAAAATAGAAAGATATCTTAAAAATGTATTCCAAAATCCCTTCTCCTTTCTTCCATATGACTTAAAATTTTGCTAGCTCCTTCACATTGCCTCCTGAGAACAAGAGTAAATACCAGAAGGACTTCAGTGTCCCCCTAACAATTCGTGGTCCTCTTAAGAGGGCTGTTTTGAGGAGGGAGCATCATGGGGACTTGTTTCTCTGCTTCCAGATGCTTCCTGAAACTTGGAGAGTGGCAGCTGAATCTACAGGGCATCAACGAGAGCACAATCCCCAAAGTGCTGCAGTACTACAGTGCTGCCACAGAACACGACCGCAGCTGGTACAAGGTGATCAGAAGTAGGGCCACCTGTGAGACCCAGCACCCTGGCAGGCTTGCCCGTGTCCTCCTATGTGCTTGTGGTTACAGCTGAGCTTCTGTGGAGCTAGGCTGATGCTGTGAATTTGCTTCTTGAGTCCCTGGAGCCTGTCTGTCTGAGGCCCAGGAAACACGCGTCTCCCCCTACAAGTTTAATTAATACAGAAAGACTGATTATTGTGAGAAATACTTGTTACACCATTAGTGAGAGTGTGTGTGTGTGTGTGTGTGTGTGTGTGTTCGTGTTCCTGGGGATTGCTGCTATCTAATAGACTCTGAGCTGCTTATTTTCCTGGGAGCATCTGGACACACAGTTAATCTCTCGAGCGTCATCTTCCCTTGGGTCGTCTGTTCCTGCTCAGCGTTTTTCTGATTTCCATCCTTGCCTGCTCCTCAGCTAGGAATTTTGTTTTTATTGGAAAGATCCAAGTAACATCCTGTTATGTTACAGGAAACTTTTCAAAAAGATAAACAGAATAAGAAAATATATAAAAGGCCCGGCACAGTGGCTCACGCTTGTAATCCTAGTACTTTGGGAGGTGGAGGTGGGCAGATCACGAGGTCAGGAGATCGAGACCATCCTGGCCAACATGGTGAAACCTCGTCTCTACTAAAATACAAAAATTAGCTGGATGTGGTGGTGGGCGCCTGTAGTGCCAGTTACTCGGGAGGCTGAGGCAGGAGAATCGCTTGAATCCGGGAGGTGGAGGTCGCAGTGAGCCAAGATCACGCCACTGCACTCCAGCCTGGCGACAGAGTGAGACTCCATCTCAAAAAAAACATAATTTTGTGTGTGTGTGTGTGTGTGTGTGTGTGTGTGTGTGTAAAAGATGTGATTGATGGAGGGGTGATTTTTGGAAGTATATATCTTTGGTGAGAACACACATTCTCATTTCTTTTTGAGAGGCATCCTGGTAACTACTTGGTGTGGCAGATGTCACTGATGTCTTTCCAGTATCTCCTTGGCTTGCTAATACTTTGTGAATTAATCCCTCTGAAATCTAAATTTGCATCCGAAGACTGCAGAAGCACTTACCTCTGTCAAAGCATGCTTCATTCTGTTTGAAAAATGCCTATTTTGTGATATGAGTAATAACTGTCTCTAGGACAGCTTGCATGTCCAAAGCTGGAAAATACATCCAGTTAACACTTTACTAGCTGAAAGCTTACTAATTAGAATTGTCTTCTAACCAGAGTCACTTTTCTTCATGTAGCTTTTAGGAAGTAAGCAAGTAACAAGAAAAAAGCTGATTTCAGGAACTTTAGTTTTAGTTTTTAAAAGCATTTCCTAATGTGGTTTCATTTGGCTTTATGATGTCTTCCACCATCAACGTCATGGCCCTGTGTGCATACCAGGACTGTTGGTCTTGTTCACCTTGACCCCAGGTCATTGCCAGGCACTAGCAGATATACAAGAGATATTCGTTGAATAAATGAAAGTATGAGAAAACTGAAACCTGGGTCATTATAGAATTCTTACTCATCAAGTCAAGGTAATTGTGATCAATCTATGCTGCTTAGATGAGAAAACAGATAAATCTGTTTTCAAGGTTTTTGGTAAGGCATCCAAACACATTTCCTGATTATTCAGAAAGTCCAGCTATCAATGGGTCATGTAGTTTCCTTCTATCACTGCAAAGTTACCATGCCTAGGAGCAAACTCTGCCCCACACTCACTGAACCAGCCAGTGGTACATTATAGAGCCACTGCATCTCAGAACCCCAGAGAGAGAGTAGTCTTCCTTTATCCAAAGAAGCACCCAGGGTTCTTCCATCAAGCATTGAGCACTGGTTCTCTGTCAGGAGATGGGCTAGGTGTTGAGACCAGGAAGATGGTGAGATGCTCTGTTATGCTCCTCTGCTTTTCCTGTCTTCCTTTGTCCACTATCTGGTGACCTGTCAAGACTTTGCTCCCCTGAAGTATTGTGGTGACTGCTGCTTGCCCCCACTTCTGCTCTCCCCTAAATGTACACTTTATACCCAGTGCAGCTCTGCTTTCCCAGAGTGAAGTGCCAACCCCGTGGCCAAGCGTGCCTGCTCCAAGCGTGGTTGCTGGCCTCGCTCTCACTCCTCATCTGCGTGTATCCCCTGCTCAGTCACATCCATGGGCTTGTTTCCTGTGAGCCAATCTGCACATCTCTGGCTTTAGTCTTCCCCTTGCCAAGAAGTCCCTACCACTGCCCTCTTGTTTCCCTCCTTGTCCTTCTGCAGCTGTCTTCCAGACCTACCCCCAAATCCCTTTTCTTGACAAAGCTTTCCAAATTCCTGTCCCTGCCACTCCCATTGTGCCTTGCAGAGTATCTGGGTCTTCAGGGGTTGAGGCCTGGGTCCCTTGAGGCAAGAGCTCTCTCCTGCTCCTCCTGCTGTGCCCTCCCGCAGCACACCCACCACAGTCCTAACATTACATAGTTAGTGCTCCACCAGGTGAGTGGATCACATGGAATTTAGTAAAACAGCCATTCCCGAATATCTCCTTGAAGTGTTTGCTTTATGAACACAGACACGAGGCAGGAGCAGCTCTTCCTCAGCATTGACCTTACTTTCCTCTGAGCCCTGCTGTTGGTCACAGCTCTGGTGTCCATCCTTGGCTTTCTCCCCAACTAGGCCTGGCATGCGTGGGCAGTGATGAACTTCGAAGCCGTGCTACACTACAAACATCAGAACCAAGCCCGCGATGAGAAGAAGAAACTGCGTCATGCCAGTGGGGCCAACATCACCAACGCCACCACTGCCACCACCACGGCTGCCACTGCCACCACCACTGCCAGCACTGAGGGCAGCAACAGTGAGAGCGATGCCGAGAGCACTGAGAACAGCCCCACCCCATCGCCGCTGCAGAAGAAGGTCACTGAGGTACCCTTCCCTTCTTCCTTATTAACAACTGACCAAGGTGCCAGACTCTCTGATAAATGGAATCGTTGTTAAGCTTAAAAGGAACCTGAGGCTGTATCTGAAGTCCCAGATGGAGCTGGAAAATGCTGCCTATCTGCCATCCAGCACTGCCTGAGACAGGGCTTTGTGTGGATATTTGTGTTTGGGGAGCTGACGCAGCCTCCACGCTGAAAAGCAAGCTCCTTGTCAAGCTTCCCCATGGATGAGCTCATTCTCTACGTGCTGCCCCTGTGTGTGGGTGGCCGTGCACAGCTGCAGGTCCACTCTGAGGATCGGGCTTGGGAGGTCCATCCTCTGCCTTTTTCTGTCCACTTCCACTTCTTCCCCTTCCCTTTGGGCTGTCAGTTCAGAATGTACAAGGCAGCTGGCAGGCCCAGGATCAGGTTGTTCAGAGCCTCAGCCCCTCTCTTCCCGCCATCTTGTTCAGGAAGCCACCATCAGTTAGCTGAAGATAATAATAGTTATGATACAATTGCCATTTACTGAGTCTTTGCTTTGTGCCAGGTACTGATTAAAGGTTTTTATGCATTAACAGATTTAACTGTTATAACTACCCTTTGAGGTAGGTACTGTTAGTATGCTGTTATACCCATTTTATAGATGAGAAAGCTGAGGCAAGAGTGTCACTAACACATGTGTGTTCCAACAGGATCTGTCCAAAACCCTCCTGATGTACACAGTGCCTGCCGTCCAGGGCTTCTTCCGTTCCATCTCCTTGTCACGAGGCAACAACCTCCAGGATACACTCAGGTAGGGGAGGATGCAACTCTGATAGGCCGTGGTAATGGCAGGACATAGCAGTCATACGTAAAATTCCTCTTTCCCCCCTGATCAGTACACCCAAGATCGGTGTGTGTGCCTTTTTTCTGTGCTGCATTTTGAGGAGTAACAGTTGACTGGGCCACACTCATGTGGGTGAAACCTACAGAGAGTGAGGAGAAGTGGGGTGAGAGCTCCCCATGTGGTTTATTATGTAGGGATTATTAACCCATCTGCTAATCACAATATTTCTTTTTTTTTTTTCTGACCACCTGTTGCCTGTTGAAGTCACAGTATTTCTAAAATCCCTCAGCAATTTGGAGAGGTCTAAACAAATGACCCGATTCAGTCCAGAGGTTAGAGGTGACAAGCACACTGTCCTCTTTCGTTTGAGGATCTCCAGCCAACTAAGAGCCAGGTGTCCCTGTTACCACTGTCCTACTTGTGCAGACTTGTGGTTCTCTAAAGGTTATCCTGGCTCGTCTGTTTGATGTCTGTGTACATGCCATGGTAACCCCTCGGTGATCTGGGATGAAATGCTCATTTGCTCAGGGTGATTCTTGTGGTGTTCAGTCAAGAGCACTGCCACCCATCACAGACACCTGCTCCCACGCAAGGCCAAACACATTTGAGAATCAGTGATTGGAGTCCCTGTCTGCTCTCTTCTCAGGAGCCTTAAAGATGAAAAATAGGCAGGCAAAAACTGGGAAACTAAATTTTCTGTGACTTTCTCATTTCCTTTTCAGAGTTCTCACCTTATGGTTTGATTATGGTCACTGGCCAGATGTCAATGAAGCCTTAGTGGAGGGGGTGAAAGCCATCCAGATTGATACCTGGCTACAGGTGAGGACACTTGGTTACAGGTGAGGGTGGCTGCACTTCTCCTGTGTGTCTTCTCTTGGAAGCATGCTCTGTTCAGAGTCGCGAGGCAGTGTCTGTTAATACAGTGCTAAGGAGGCAGGGCTGGATCCCAGGTCAAGTGTCCATATTTTCTTTAGGAAACTAAAGGGAAGGGAGTGAACAATTTCAGAGCCTGACAGCACCAACCAAAACAAGTTACAAAAATTGATCTTTGCCTACAAGAATAACTAGTTGTTTCGCATCTCATATGCTATGTACTGTGTCTTTTTGAATACCAGGTTATACCTCAGCTCATTGCAAGAATTGATACGCCCAGACCCTTGGTGGGACGTCTCATTCACCAGCTTCTCACAGACATTGGTCGATACCACCCTCAGGTATGTGGAGGCCTGGGACACTTTCTCATCTAACCACTGGTTGGTGTTTAGCCTTTATGAAAGCTACCCTGGAGATGCAGGCACAGGAACTGGGAGCCACGTCTTCCATCGTGGCCCAGGAGGATCTGTCCAGCCAGCCGTCCCAGAGGGCCCAGGAGCCTTGCTGAAAAAGTGTTCCCTCCAAGACTGAGTTAGCCCCTTCCTGGTAGTCTCAAGCAGGTGTTACAATGTTAATAGCACACTCACCACTTGTTTTGTCATTCTCCTTAAAATTCACACCAGCTGCCCCCCACACACATTCCTTTACAGATATTCCTTCTGTCTTTCCCCCAGGCCCTCATCTACCCTCTGACAGTGGCTTCTAAGTCTACCACAACAGCCCGGCACAACGCAGCCAACAAGATTCTGAAGAACATGTGTGAGCACAGCAACACTCTGGTCCAGCAGGCCATGATGGTGAGTCGGAGCCATTCTGGGGTTCCACAGACCCTGGTCACCTAGCTGGTGGGCGTGAGTGGATTGTTTTTCTTCCTCGAAATGGTGCTGTGCACTCCCTCTTGCTGCCAGAAAGAGGACCTCCTGTTTCTCCAAAACAGACCTTTCTGAGTTTAGCTGATCCTTGGTGCTTCTCTCCTTCTTCTCTTGGCCTCAGGTGAGTGAGGAGCTGATCCGAGTGGCCATCCTCTGGCATGAGATGTGGCACGAAGGCCTAGAAGAGGCTTCTCGTTTGTACTTTGGAGAGAGGAATGTGAAAGGCATGTTTGAGGTGCTGGAGCCCTTGCATGCAATGATGGAACGGGGCCCCCAGACTCTGAAGGAAACATCCTTTAATCAGGTACGGGATTAAAAAAACATAAAAGGACATAACCCGGTAGAAATATTCTGTCACGCCGGGTGCGGTGGCTCAAGCCTGTAATCCCAGCACTTTGGGAGGCCGAGGCGGGTGGATCACGAGGTCAAGAGATCGAGACCATCCTGGTCAACATGGTGAAACCCCGTCTCTACTAAAAATACAAAAAATTAGATGGGCATGGTGGTGCGTGCCTGTAATCCCAGCTACTCAGGAGGCTGAGGCAGGAGAATTGCCTGAACCCAGGAGGCGGAGGTTGCGGTGAGCCGAGATCGCGCCATTGCACTCCAGCCTGGGTAACGAGAGTGAAACTCCGTATCAAAAAAAAAAAAGAAATATTCTGTCACTAAAAAAAAAAAATGAGAAAAGTTTTTTAAAAATGAAAGGTCATGACCCAAGGCCTTTGTCAGACTTCTTTTCCTCTAGCCTTTCCACTGACTTTAATAAAACGAGCTCTGATGGAGGCCACAGAGCATAAAAAACACTAGAAATGTAATTGCCATTGAGTTACAAGGACCCTCTTGAATTTTAACTGGAAAATCCCAAGATTTCTCAGAAGGTTGTCTCATCTCCTCTCACCCTTGCTTCCCTGTAAGCCATGCTGCTGGTCTGGGCTGCACCTCTGCTCTTCTCTCTCTCCAGCCCCCTGCCAATGTTTTCAGGCCACAGTGGGCTCCTGAGGGATTTCTGCAGTCAGCCTGGGGATTTTGCCTCCTGGCTTGGTTGAGACTTTGACCACTTGAAAATGTACCTACTTTCTTTCTCAGGCCTATGGTCGAGATTTAATGGAGGCCCAAGAATGGTGCAGGAAGTACATGAAATCAGGGAATGTCAAGGACCTCACTCAAGCCTGGGACCTCTATTATCATGTGTTCCGACGAATCTCAAAGCAGCTGCCTCAGGTAGGATCTTCAGGCTCCTGGCAGGGTTAACTGCCAATATAGTCCTTTCTATTTTGCTGTCTATGAATGTTCTAACACTCATTCCAAAGCATCTGGTTTTACTTCTGCTTTGGGACAAGTAATTGTTATTAGCAATCCACTGAAAAATACTTAAATTGCATTTAAATTCCTCCCTGGAGGCAGAACACTAAATCCTTTGGTAATTATTCACAGCTCACATCCTTAGAGCTGCAGTATGTTTCCCCAAAACTTCTGATGTGCCGGGACCTTGAATTGGCTGTGCCAGGAACATATGACCCCAACCAGCCAATCATTCGCATTCAGTCCATAGCACCGTCTTTGCAAGTCATCACATCCAAGCAGAGGCCCCGGAAATTGACACTTATGGGTAAGGACCATTGCGCACTTCTGTCACCCACTTCTCCCTCTTACCTTGGCTGAGCCCCCTTCCCTCTTCTGAAATTATGGCTTGCCGTTCCCACTGCTCACCTATCCTAACTACATCTCTACCATGCTCGTTGAGCGGAAAATAGAGGACAAGCGAATTTCTCATTATGTCCTCAGGACTCTACAGTTCATTCATGTAGTTGGGCTTATGTGAAGCATGATGATCATGCACAAAGGGAATGACCAAGGCATACAAGGCAGAGAAGTGACAGTGGAGGGCAGATGTTGGGGAACTGATGAGGCCAGGAAGGAGCCAGCTGGGTGCAAGTGGGGAAGGTGCCAGCTCCTCTGAAAAGGGGGCTTCTGGCTCACATATATATATATATATAAACCATCATAGTCTGTGTGGTAAATGATTGTGTAAAATGAACAAATGAATCTCACAGTGAGATTTGATAAGCAATTGGCCTCTGGAATTTCCTTTCAGGTAGAGCGTTACCTATGGGGGATGTTTTAGGGAGGCCTGAGTGTTGTGGTGGTACTTTGAGGCCTCTTGCTTTTTTTTTTTTTTTTTTGAGACGGAGTTTTGCTTTTGTTGCCCAGGATCTCAGCTCGCTGCAACCTCCGCCTCCCAGGTTCAAGTGATTCTCCTGCCTCAGCCTCCCAAGTAGTTGGGCTTACAGGCACGTGCCACCATACCTGGCTAATTTTGTATTTTTAGTAGAGACAGTGTTTCACCATGTTGGCCTGGCTGGTCTCGAACTCCCAACCTCAGGCGATCTGCCCACCTCGGCCTTGCAAAGTGCTGGGATTAGAGGTGTGAGTCACTGACGGCCTCTTGCTCTTAATAATGCTCCTGTTTCTTAAATGCAGTGATTATTCACCAACACCAATTAATCGTGGTCCACAGGTGAATGTCTCTGCATGGGCTCTTGTCTTCTGATAACAAAATGTGGGTCAGGCTGGTTCTTGGGGTGTTTAATTAAAGAGAGTTTAACAAAGGAATTGTTTTCAGAGTGTAAGCAAAGCTAAGAGAATCAATAAGGAGCGCTCATGAATAAGCACAAGTGAGAAAACGTTACTCAGCCCTCACCCCCACACTCCAGAACTAGAAGGGCAAGGAGCCCAACAAGAACTGTCACCATGCTAGAGAGGCCATCTAGCAGAGGCTGCAGCCCAGAGACAGGGGCATGGCAGCTTCTGGAACTGGGGCCATGCTGGTTGTGGGGGGCATATATCCTGACCTCTCCCTCTACCCATCCTCTGATCTCCTGCCAGTACTCCTCCACCATTGGCCATGCCCAAGTGGGATCCCAGGTGATGCAGTCTATAGAAGTCAGCCTTCTCAGAGCAGAGGAGAACAGAGTGGGTCAGAAAACAGGAATGATCATTTCTGTGCCTAATCATTCCTGGTCCTCAAAAACAGGTTTTGTTTTGTTTTAATTTGATAACGTTGGTCATTGGGAACCATAAAAAGCAAGGCCATTCTTTTAATCAATTCTAGGGATTGTTTTTTTCTTTTTGTGAGGAACGTGTGATTAGGTAAGGCATATGTAGTCCGTGGATCTCTTGAACGCAGTGGTGCTCTCAGCTGAAGAGCTGAGAACTTCTGATGTACACTCACTGCTCCCACTGTTCCTTACAGGCAGCAACGGGCATGAGTTTGTTTTCCTTCTAAAAGGCCATGAAGATCTGCGGCAGGATGAGCGTGTGATGCAGCTCTTCGGCCTGGTTAACACCCTTCTGGCCAATGACCCAACATCTCTTCGGAAAAACCTCAGGTATTCAGAAACCCTGAAATGGCAACGATTTGAGAAGTCTTCTGGTTTTTTCCTACATTTGTCTCATATTATACCTTAACAAAAAACTATAAAATTAGGGAACCAGGCACGGTGACTCATGCCTATAGTCCCAGGAACTCCAGAGGTTGAGGCAGGGGGATGACTTGAGCCCAGGAGTTCAAGGCTGCAGTGAGCTGTGATTGCACCACTGCACTCCAACTTGGTTAATAGAGCAAGACCATCTCTTTAAAAGAAAAAGAAAAAGGCTGGGTACTGTGGCTTATGCCTATAATCCTAACATTTTTGGAGTCCAAAGTAAGAGGATCACTTGAGCCCTGGAATTCAAGTCCAGCCTAAGCAGCATAGAGAGACCCCATCTCTATTTATGTAAAAAAATTAAAAAGGTGGTCGGGCGCAGTGGCTCACGCATGTAATCCAAGCACTTTGAGAGGCCAAGGCAGGTGGATCACTTGAGGTCAGGAGTTCGAGACGAGCCTGGTCAACATAGTAAAACCCTGTCTCTATTAAAAAATACAAAAATTAGCTGGGCGTGGTGGCAGCCACCTGTAATCCCAGCTACTCAGGAGGCTGAGGCAGGAGAATCGCTTGAACCTAGGAGGCAGAGGCTGCAGTGAGCCAAAATCGCGCCATTGCACTCCAGTATGGGCAACAAGAGCGAAACTCCATCTCAAAAATAAATAAAAAAGAAAGATAAGGAAAAAAAAAAAAATAAGTGGCCAGGCATGGTGGCTCACATGTAATCCTGACACTTGGGAAGGCTACAGCAGGAGGATTACTTGAGACCAGGAGTTCAAGACCATCCTGGACAACAAAGTGAGACCCTGTCTCTACAAAAAATAAATCAGCTGGGCATGGTGGCTCATGCCTGTTGTCCCAGCTACTTAGGAGAGAGAGGCAGAGGAATCATGTGAGCCCAGGAGATCGAGACTGTGTGCCACTACACTCCAACCTGGGCAACAAAGCAAGACCCTGTCTCTCAAAAAAGTTAAAAACAGGCTGGGCATAGTAACTCACGCCTGTAATCCCTGTCTCTACAAAAGAATTTTAAAAATTAGCTGGAGACAGTGTAGTCCCAGCTACACAGGGGGCAAAGGCAGGAAAATCACTTGAGCCCAGGAGGTCAAGGCTGCCGTGTGCTGGTAATGGCACCACTGCACTCCAGCGTAGAAAACAGAGCAAGATCCTGTCTCAAAAAGTAAATAAATAAATTTTTTAAAATGTTTTTCAAATGAACAATTAAGTATAAAATTTTATAACTTAATTTATAACCAAGTTCTTCCAGAGTTTTTAGGGTATTCTCATTGGGAAATGCCTTTAACGACCTCCAAAGAATCCAGCAGGGAGCAATTTGTGACAGGTAGACTGGAGAGTCTGCAGATGGGATGGGTCTCACCCCTTGTGGGTAAAAGTCAAACCTTTCCTATCATCAGTACTCTGGCACTCCTCTTCCTAGTAACACCATGAGAATTCACTTGAGAGGTATTTTAGTCTTAGTCACTTGGTTGTTCCCCCAAAGCCATGAGTTCATTGGGCAGGTTGAGGAGACCATGTTGCTTTCATTGCACCATCAGTGGACTTTCTGTGATGCCTTATTCTTCACAAAGCATCCCTCAATACACACTTCACACCAGCCTGGTATAGGGCGCTCATTAAAAATAGTCTGCCTGTGTCCTGAGCTGACCAAGGGTATACTCAGTTGGGCTTTTGACCTCCCTTTCCCTTTGCAAACTGATAAAAGCCCTGGTCCCTTTACGATACAATAACCCTGCTTTCCTGTGGGCACCAGCATCCAGAGATATGCCGTCATCCCTTTATCAACCAACTCTGGCCTCATTGGCTGGGTCCCCCACTGTGACACGCTGCACGCCCTCATCCGAGACTACAGGGAAAAGAAGAAGATCCTTCTCAACATTGAACATCGCATCATGTTGCGGGTATGTGATGCGGCCACAAGAGCCCGCACCCCTTCCGTGGAAGGGAATTCCGTAGAACTGCTCTTCTAATTCCTCTCTATATCTCTGCCACTGAAAAATCTCTTTTGAGAGAATCAGCTCTGAAGAAGATTTAATAAAGTCAGTCCAAAAGCAGATACCTTCTAAGAAACTGAAGGACCCTTAAGCTGAGAAATTGTTTTCACCTTCCTAGGGAAGACTAGGCAGATAGATATTCAGCACCATATATTCACTAATGTATACAAAGCACTGGCCATCTGGAGAATCATGTTTAGTAGATGTGTAAGTAAGAAGATAATTGCATGTTGTCCAAAACCTTGAAACTTCCACTACTCTCATCTGCACAGAAGGGCTCTACTGAAGTGAGGTCTCCTGTCTTTCCCTTATGCCTTGGGGTTCCAGTGGTCATCAGGTTAGAGTGGTTACTTTGTTTCTCCTTTTGCCGTGTTCTTATTTCCCTTCTCCTTTGGCTGTGATGGGGAAATTAGAACTCAGCTCTGCCTGGACCCTAAGCCTTGTTTCTTCCTGGACGTATCCTATGTGTCTCCGGCTGCTCTCTTACTGAACAGTTGTGTCCTGATGCAGATGGCTCCCGACTATGACCACTTGACTCTGATGCAGAAGGTGGAGGTGTTTGAGCATGCTGTCAATAATACAGCTGGAGACGACCTGGCCAAGCTGCTGTGGCTGAAAAGCCCCAGCTCTGAGGTAGGCCACTGGGTTTTGCAGGCCTGCACTCCCCTGGAACCACCACTCACAATAGGGTGGCCTTCCCGTCTGTTCATGTGCACACAGTGGCTCTTCTTCGCTGTGATTGGCTGTAGAGCATGTCCAGACTTTCTAACAAAACTGAAATGGGCAAGCAAGACAAGTTCACAGAGTTAGAAAGAGTAGTTTAATGTTTTTCCAGAACTCTTTATATATTAAAGATAGTTGTCTTTTTTACATGTGTTACAAATTTCCTATTAACTTCGTTTTTAAAGTTTGCTAATGGTATGTTCCTTGGTTTGGGGTTTTTGTTTGGTTTGGATTGGTTTTTGATATACAGTCAGCCCTCCATATATGTGACTTCTGCATATGTGGATTCAACCAGCCGTGATAGAAAATATTTTTAAAATATATATTTAACAATAAAAAAATGATGTTAATTTTAAAAATATAGAATGACTACATTGTATAGCATTTACATTGTATTAGGTATTATATGTACTCAGAATGGTTTGAGGTATAAGGGAGGTTGTGCACAGGTTACATGCAGTACTACGCCATTTTATTTAAAAATTGTATTTGGGCCTGGTTCAGTGGCTCACACATGTAATCCCAGCACTTTGGGAGGCCAAGGAGGGCAGATCGCCTGAGGTCAGGAGTTCGAGACCAGCCTGAAAAACGTGGAAAAATCCCATCTCTACTAAAAATACAAATTAGGGGCTGGGTGCATCACGCCTGTAATCCCAGCACTTTGGGAAGCCAAGGTGGGCGGATCATGAAGTCAGGAGATCAAGACCATCCTGGCCAACATGGTGAAACCCCATCTCTACTAAAAAATACAAAAATTAGCTGGGCACGGTGGCAGGCACCTGTAATCCCACCTACTCGGGAGGCTGAGGCAGGAGAAGAGCTTGAATCAGGGAGTTGGAGGTTGCAGTGAGCCGAGATCACGCCACTGCACTCCAGCCTGGGGACAGAACAAGACTCCATCTCAAAAAAAGAATATATATAATATATATATATAATTAGCTGGGCATGGTTGCGCATGCCTGGAATCTGGAGGCTGAAGCCGGAGAATCGCTTAAACCCGAGAGGCGGAGGTTGCAGTGAGCGGAGATCGTGCCATTGCACTCCAGCCTGGGCGACAAGAACAAAACTTCATCTCAAAAAAGAAAAAATCGTTTTGGACAGGCGCAGTGGCTCACACCTATAATCCCAGTGCTTTGGGAGGCCAAGGCAGGAGGGTCACTTGAGCCCAGGAGTTCAGTACCAGCCTGGGCGACATAATGAGACTTCATCTCTCTTTTTTTCTTTCACCAAGGCTGGAGTGCAGTGGCATGATCTCAGCCCAATGCAACCTCTTCCTACTAGGTTCAAGCAATTCTCCTGCCTCAGCCTCCCAAGTAGCTGGGATTATAGGACCACCGTGCCTGGTTAATTTTTGTATTTTTAGTAGAGACAGGATTTCATCATGTTGTCCAAGCTAGTCTCAAACTCCTGACCTCAAGTGATCCACCCACCTTGGCCTCCCAAAGTGCTGGGATTACAGGTATAAGCACCTACACTATTCTGTGAGATCGCATTTCTACAAAAAAATTAGCCGAGCATGGTGGTGCATACCTGTAAGCCTAGCTACTTACTTGGGAGGATCATTTGAGCCCAGGAGAATGAGGCTGCCACATCATGCCACTGCACCGCAGCCTGGGTGACAGAACGAGACCCTGTCTCAAAAGAATGATAATAATTTTTTTAAAATTATTTTTAAGCTGGGTGCAGTGGCTCACACCTGTAATCACAGCACTTTGGGAGGCTGAGCAGATGGGTCACCTGAGATCAGGAGTTCAAGACCAGCCTGGCCAACATGGTGAAACCCCGTCTCTACAAAAAATATAAAAAATTAGCCGGGTGTGGTGCCAGGCGCCTGTAATTCCAGCTACTCAGGAGGCCAAGGCACGAGAATCACTTGAACCCAGGAGGCAGAAGTTACAGTGAGCCGAGAT